GGAGTGGGGACCGCCCGATATTATCGGGGCCACATATTATATTGATCTTGGACTAGATAATATGTATATGGTGGTGGATGTCCTAGTTGAGCCATGACAATGGCATAGGGTTGACCGGTTGGTCAAACGGGGCCAAATTATCAGTATCGGCAATCTATCAGATAACAGCCCGAAAAGGGATTTCGGAGACTTCTAAATTAAAGTTGAGGGATGCATATTGATTCTAAGGTCCATTAAGAATTGGGAACAAGTGTTATATTTTATTTGACCCGATAAAATAAAATATACTTAAAACAGTCCGAAAAATACAACTTTCGGGACCGATTGTACACTTCTGGACAAAAAGGGTTGACCTCCCACATGGGTGGGGGCCAACCCACGATTTTAGCCTCATTATTCAGAGCCTTAGCAGGCTGGTAAGAGATATGAGGTGGGAGAAGACTGATTTGAGATGTTTGGCATCAAAACAAATCATGGTGGCCCTCCTCCCTTTCACTCATTGCCCAAAAGGAGACAAAGAGGCATTCCTACCCATCCCCCTCCTCACTAGTTCGGCCAGCAGCAAGGGAAAGGAGGAAAGAACCTCTACAACTTCATCTCCATAGCCCCAAATCCGAACTCAAGCTCAAGGGAGTCCAAGAAGAAAGTTTAAGAAGGAAAAAGCTAGGAAAAAGTGTGAAAATTAAGGTAATGACCTTATCATAATTTTTCCTTTGTTTTTCTTCTAGCATATAAGATATATATCATATGAAAGACCTTTAGTATTGTTCTACATGATTTAAGTGTGGAATAATGGGTTGGAAAGTGATTCTAAGTCCAAAAACGGACTTAGAAGCCAAATCGACCGGTTTGCCGGAAAATAACCTTTTATAGGTTATTTGTGTTGATATGGGTTTTGTGATGATAAAACCTTGTTAGGAACTTGATTTAAAGTATTTTTGAGCCTCGCCGGAGTTTCGTCGGAGTTGGTCAAAGTTCGCCGGAGTTGGTCAAAGTTCGCCGGAGTTGGTCAAAGTTCAATCAAGAAACGTAGAACGCGCTTAAGCTTAATTAAGGTGAGGATGACCGACTATGTTACCTATAATCTTTGGGTTAATTTCATGGGATTTCCTAAGTGAATACAAATGTGATGCGTATGAGTTGTTAATGGTTAATAATGCCTAAATGAAACTACTATTGATTATAAGTATAGTATGCATGATACACAAATTTATGAATAAATTGTGTATGTTTAGATGTTGTGAATATGTGTGTATGACGGTTGTACTAACCATGAATATCATTTGAGATAGTATACTTTGATGCCATGAGGAGAAGCTATGAGGGTATGAAAGTGATACTTGATATTAAGGCCAATTGTGCAAGAAGAAAGAATTATATTGAAATAAATAAATAACTAGCATTGAAATGTTAGTTGGAAATGTTAGTTGAGAAATGGATGAATTAGATCCTAAGAATTTGAATTATAAGGAATCGGTGATTATGAGCCGGGCTCAAAACCGATGTAGATAACGGTGATTATGAGCTGGGCTCTAGACCGTAGTAGATGACGGTGATTATGAGCTGGGCTCTAGACCGTAGTAGATGACGGTGATTATGAGCTGGGCTCTAGACCGTAGTAGATGACGGTGATTATGAGCTGGGCTCTAGACCGTAGTAGATGACGGTGATTATGAGCTGGGCTCTAGACCGTAGTAGATGACGGTGATTATGAGTTGGGCTCTAGACCGTAGTAGATAACGGTGATTATGAGCTGGGCTCTAGACCGTGATAAAAAATGATGAATTGATATTAAATGAACGGATTAACTATAATGTAATAATGCCCTAGTCGAGGGCCTCAGGGATTTAAACTTTGATTATACTTAGTATAGTTGTCATTGTACTTGTCAAATGCTTCCAAGTACTGACCTCCCCTTCACGGGGGAGGCCACCTCACAGTTTCAGGTAGAACTTGAAGGTTGCTACCAACAGCCGCTGCTTCGGGAAGTTTCTGAGGAGAAGACTTGGTTCGTGCTTCTCCCGTTCTTGTTTTGAAAAACAATATGAATAATGCTCATGGATAATATTTTCTGAATAATTATTTTGGGGGCTTGCATGCCTAATTATGCCAAGTGTGGCTTGAACACTTGTATCAATTGTTTCCGCTGCTTTAATAAATATTTTACATTATGTTTGTTTATGGATGTACTATGTGTGAATGGTATTCAAGACGCCTTGTATAGTATGGATGAGTCGGACTGCGGTTGACTATTCGTACTGTACGGCGGGTTGTTGACGTGTCCGGGTAGGTCCGGGGCGTGACACAGTGCCACCCCGCTGAGGTGACTCCTCGACCACCAGAATGATGACATGTGTCCCTATCTGGCATTTATTACTACTATAAATAGCACTCATTTCTCCATTTGTAATTCATGTTCAATACGCTCACCACTATATACTCTCCCTCTCTTATTTATGCTCTGACTTCTCTCTAGTTACTCCCCGCAGTAACCCCTCGGATAGATACCCCCGGGTACACTATCCATCAGAAACAATCTTTGAATATTTGTGTTTAGTATTTACAAATTGAAATTTACATGCCCAACAACTAAAAGTAGAGTAAATGTTGTCCAAAATATATAAAAAATGATCAAACCATGATGATTTAACTGAAATTAGAGTTACGGGAACGGAAAATATAATATCTCCCTGATCCTCATATACATTTACCAATCAGTATGTATATATATTAATTTATATTATATATACTAATATATTATGTATTAATTTATATTAATATTATATATATATATATATATATATATTAAATATATAAATATACACACATATAAACTAGGCTCGCGAGCTAGTGAGCCTAAAATTAGTAAGCTCGTTTATGGCTCGACTGCTTAACGAGTAGGCTGGAGCTCGACTCGAGCTCGAGTTTGATTGAACTCGATTCGAGCTTTGACTGAGCAGCTTACGAACGACTCGGTTCATTTATTGCATCCCTAGTTGAAATCTGTGTTTGAAGTTTGAACTCATTCACGCACCATTCTATAAATTTTGATGAAGATCATTAATTCAATTTATCTAAATACTAGTGTGATAATGTGATATGCTTCATGTGTTCTCTTTCAGTTGCAAAGGTCCACCGTTCACGTATACTAATGCATAAGTTTGATAATTAATATATATCAATTTTATTAATAAATAGATTAAAATTTCATCTTGAAAATTTAAAATGAGAGAAATTTAATAAAAAATTTCAAAAAAATAAATTATATAAGTAATACTTTTTGTGTGGAAGAATTCGACCTATATTGATATCAAAACATTTAGATAGTGGGTAATCCGACAAACAAAATCTTGACAACCGCCGTCCCGCGAACCAGACTCAGAGTTAATCACCTCAATAGAAGAAATATAACTCGCTGATCCATAAATGGCACAAATTAGCCAAAGACAATTAACCCAATTCGCTTATCACCCATATCCTGTCTTACAGAAATGCTTTACAAAAATGATATTTGTACACACTCTTATACACACTTTTGTACACACATATGTCTGTGAAAGTTTTTCTTTTTGTCTGTGAACATCGATTCACTGACAAAAAAAAACTTCACAAACATGGTGTCTATAAGATGTGTACAAGGGTGTGATGAAGCAATACTTTAAGGGGGTTGCTAGGCGCACCCCTCTAATTGCTTAATGTAACCTTAGAATGACTAATTAGTCCTTTTCCATTCTTTAATCAAATTTGAAATAAAACATGCTACGGGATACGGGGATATTTGATAGAAGATCAGAAGCTTGAGATACCCATGAAGGACCGGACAATACTTCCGTGTATATGAAAAATCAATATCAAGATTTACTCTAAACCTAATAATTTAGTGACACATGGCAAATAATTACTACATATTATTTTATAAAATTACATGTCATAACTATTTCACTTGTGCTCCCATCTTTACAAAAAATATTTAAAAGTTAAGCAATTTTTTATGATATCTCATATAACAATAATATTAGATATGTAAAATTTTGAAAAACAAAAGTATTTCGGTTTGGTCTATTTGTATCTGGACTGATAATTTTTTTACTATTGTTTAAAGATGTTTAAGTCTAATCTGGTCTAGCTTAAGATAGTGACAAAAGTATTTAAAGATGTTTTTAATTGCATTGAAGTTTCCTGGGTTGGTCTGATCTAGTTGCTCTATTTAAGTCTGGTCTGGTCCATCTTAATCTGGTAGATTTCTATCGAAATCTAGTTTAGTCTGTTTGTTTTAGTCTGATCTGTTTAAGCCTTATTTGATATGGAATTAAAACTAAACCATTAAAAACATTTTAAATAGAGTAACCTTTTTTTCTTGTATTTGACAATACAATGATGTGTTTGTCAACAATATTGAAGTCTATTTGTTTAATACTTCTGTCTTTTTGCGTTTTGTTACAACGCTTCATTTTCAGGCTAGCTAGCGCGCAATTTTGATTAATAATATATTTCATTATCCACTCGAAAAGAAATTATAAAAATTTGATTTTTAAAATTAATAATAAAAATAATTTAACAACTTTTTTTCAAGAAATTAAATTTTTAATACATTAATAAATAAAATATAATCAAAATAGAGTATGAAAATATTGTAGATCGAATTCAATATGTTACAATTATTTAATAACGAAGACAAGAATGAATAGAATTGTTAAATTTTCAAATGGTGTCAATTGTATTTTACAACAAATTAATTAATGAATACAAAAATGATTTATTTTAGTAAATTGAGATTTCATGCCGGTGTACTAATTAATTGAATACTCCGTATTACGTAAAAGGAAATAAGAAAATTTGAGAAGCATACGTGCGCCCAAAATGAAATGAGACACAATGAGAAAAATTGTCCAATTATGAAAAATTGAAAAGCATTAAAATTAGTGGAAAGAATTGCTACGTGAGTTTCCGTGAGCACAAGACTGCAAGAGGACAAAACGGTCCAAGAGTGGGAAAATAGAGGCGCGCCTAGTTTTATCATATCTGCACGGCTGCACCTGCCTTGGCTTTCTCTTGTTCAGTAAATCGAAGCAGTATAATGGCCTCAACCCTCCTGAAACCCACTATTATTCCCTCCTTCCATCTCCACCCTCCCTTACCAACCACCGCAGAAACGATGAAAACTCACTCACCATTCTCATCCATTTCTTGCAAAACCACAAAGAACTCAAATTTTGGGCAAAAGACTTCCAAGTTTTTAATCAAATCCTCACAGCAGAGTGTTGGGATGACAGCAGCGGATTTAAAGAAAGTTTCCCAGATCAAAGTTGACCTTTTTGATGCATTTCAAGGTACAGTTTATATGTTTCAGGCATTTGACTCCTTTCCATTTATTGTCTGAATTTGATGTGAGATGCAACTTTTGTAGGGATTGATAGGGGCATATTTGGAATTAAAAGTGAAAAGAAGAGTAAAATTGAACAACTGGTGAAGCTGCTGGAATCACATAACCCAACCCCTGAACCAACTCTGTGTCTACACAAGGTCTTGCTCTATTAGAAACATGAAATAGGAGTAAAACATGGTCAGAGAGAGACTCAAAGTTCAAAAGTGAGACTATTTAGTCATAAAAACTTAAATAAAATCTTTGATTCCCAATATAGAACTTATTTAGTCATAATAAAAGAATAACTACAATAAAAACTTCCTTTTTTTAAAGAGTCAATGAATACTATTTTGGAATGAAAACTATGGTAGTCCTATTTGAGATAAAATGTGATATTTTTTACACTTATTTAAAGATTTTCTTTTAGAGTGGTGGTTTGCATTACTAAGTTGATATTGTCTTCCGCCTTCGGGGCAAACCTGTACAGTTTTGTTTTGACGCGTCCCAAATATCTCTTTTTTAATGGAGTTAGATGAATTTATATCCAACAAGGTCTTGCTTACTTCATTTTTTAATGTGGCACTGACACTCCAAAAACATAGTATAGTATAAGATTTGACAGTAGAATTAGAAAATGCAGACAATGCAGGGATGATAGAAATCTAATTTTGAGTTGGCATTGCTCTACTCCGTCATCAGAAATGCGCTCCTCGGTCCAAAAATAACATAGGGTTTTTGTCATTAAAATTGTAACTTTCATGAAATTCACCAGGTGGTAGGAAGCTGGAAGCTGGTTTATAGTACCATAACTGTCCTGGGATCAAAAAGAACAAAGCTGGGATTGAGAGATTTAATCACTCTGGGAGATTTCTTCCAGATTATTGATGATTCTGAGGTATGTACATGTTCGAATATCCTTAGAGAGTCAATATTTTTAGTTTCCTCGTGCAGCAGGATTTGTTTATATGGTAATAGCATTGTCCAATTTGCATATTGACTGAAAAGGTTAATACCCGATTGGTAAGTATATTTTTTTTGCAATGGTTGAATTTGCTTTTTGCACCACTTAATTCAAGAGTTGTCTAAGTTATTTCATATTGGGCAAGTATAAGATTAGAAACTCACACAATGCTTGAGACTATTCCTCATATCCTTTCAAATTGACATTTTAAGATTGAAAGCTTAATCTAAAAATGTTATCAGAACCGATTAAGCTATAACAAACAATTCAATCTTGGTAGGATTCAATAACAATCACAAAGTTTTAACAATTAATCAGTCAAACATAAAAATACAAACCCGCATATATTAGGTTAACTTTTAAAGAAGAGTATCATATATTTATAGTCTATATGCAATCGATTATTGAAATTTGGCATATTTGTTCTCTACATGGAACTCGTTTTTATAGTTCTCATCGTGTTTTGGATTTTGGATTTGTAGTGAGCACTCTAAGCTCTAATAAGCACTCTTGTAGAAACACAGGGTGAATTGTGTTTTTGAGTTAACTATACTTAGATACTTAGCATTTACTATAGCTATTGGATTATAACACAGTTTCGTGATGGAGGAATGAATGTAGGCGAAAGCTGTTAATGTGATCAAGTTCAGTGCGAGAGGGCTCCGTTTCTTGACCGGGCAGCTAAGAATTGAAGCATCCTTCAACATTGTCTCCAATTCAGTTAAGGCTTTGGTCTTTTCTTTCACTAATATGTATTTCATATGTTCTTTCCTGATAATGAATTATTTGATTCATTCATTTCAACAACAGAGAGTTAATATAAGCTACACTAGCTCGACGATAACTCCTGATAAGGTATGCATAGATAGATAGAATTAATAAAATCATTATCCAAAATACGTTTCTTCTGAGAAGTGACTGATCTTTCCTGTTTTCTTGCAACAATGTGCAGTTGATGAACGTTTTCCGGAAAAACTACGATCTCCTATTGGAAATTTTCAATCCAGATGGCTGGCTCGAGATCACGTATCCTTTTTTCTATAGGAGTTTGTGTTTCACATTCCAGATGTTAGAGAGAAGTTGTTCCTTGATTAGAAGATGTTTAGATATTTGGATGATAGTCTCAGAATTGGGAGAGATGACAAAGGCAACACATTTGTTTTGGAGAGATCAGAAGAGGAAGCAAAATAAACGGATTATAGCCATTTGTAAAGTCATCACATTTATACACGTTATTTTCTTTAAATATAAAAATGAAAAAAGTCAATTGAGATGTATGTTAAAAAAATATATTATGAATCTTTATTACGGAGTAGGTCTCACCTGCCTGGATCTATGTTGAAAGAACCTGACCGGACTGGGAGGGTCGACCCGGAATCCGGCCACCCGGCCAACAATCCGTTCCGGTCTAATACTAACCCGCAAATATGGCCAAAACCAGAAAAGCCCGGTGACTGGGCAAAACCGGGATGGGCCCGGACCGGTTGAAACCCGCATAAACCAAGAAACCCGGAAAATAAAGAAATTGAAGTTGCTTGTGCACTCTTATACTCCCTCCGTTCCTAAAAATTCTTCTCGGTTTGACTTAGCACGCTTATTAAGAAAGTGGAATAAAGTGGAAATGTATGGTTGTGGTTATGTAAGAAAAAGGTAAAATGAATGTGAGCCACACAAATTGTCCAAAATGGGAAAGTGGGAAGTATTTTTGGGAACAACCCAAAAAGGAAAGTGAGAAGTATTTTTGGGAACGGAGAGAGTAACTTATAAGAATGCACAAGTTATAACGTTTCAACTTTAAGAATTACATTATAACAATAAGAATACACAATAATATTATTGATAGAGTAAAATCTATAAAAGGTCCTTAAATTATCACCACCATATCGTCTTGGTCCTTGAACTATTAAATCTATCATTTTAGTCCTTAATCTATTTCATCTATATTAATCGAGTCATTCCGTTAAATTTGTCATTAACTTTGACGGAAGTTAATTCATTTATTAACATATCATAATTTTAAACATTCTGAAACAATATAATCACTTAAAATATAAGTAGCTAATCTAGTTTTTTTAAATATACACATATGTACACATACACATATAAAAATTTTAAATAAATAATATAAAATCAAATGTACGGCCTAAATAATACGTAGTCTATAAGAGAGAATTAAATAATCAATTATATACATATGAGCAGATAAAATTAAATAAGAAAACGAGGGTGATTGTTATTATTATTAATTACTAGATGAAGTACCTGGACGCACGGGATATATCTAGAGTAGAATAACAACTTATTTAAACTTTAATCGGGAAATCAATTAAATAAAGTTTTTGAAAATTGCACAGTTTTTATTTATATAAAATGCATTTGTTGAAAGTAAATCTCGTAGATCCGAAAGCCCAACACGAACTTTGGATATATCAGGAATGGCACAGAATCAAAGCGTGTAAAAAATATAAGATCTGAACTAACTAACACTCGAAAGCTCACTTGTATTAATTAACCAGTCTGATTACAAGGAATTTCCCGATCAGTAAGTCGGAAACTATGCTTTAATACAAGAAATAAGAGCAATGATGCTATTCTAGAGCCTGAGTATTGAAATGCTAACCCTTACAATGACTTGAAACCTTCTATTTATACTAATGGAGAGCATGGACTGCCTCATGCTGATTGGCCGTTGTTCCACCGACTTGATCATCCATGCTTCCACTTGCTGATGTCATAGTCTGGCATTAATTGCACCTGGCCACTTGCTGGTTGGCCGTTGCTCGAACGGGATGTTGGGCTGTACTGAAGATGTTGTCAAACTGGTCCAAGTACGATATATAGCCTGAACCTCGTTCGGTATGTCTTCTTACCGGGCCAACCTTTATTTGGGCCGAACTCCGTTCGGTATGTCTTCTTACTGGATCTATTCATCATAGAGTGATGGGCCCGTTGCTTGGGCCGGATATCTTGGGCCTTCTCGATCTGGGTATTGGGCCTCTAGGTCAATATCCCAACACAAGTCCCCCACTTCCGATGTCTCGAACGATAGTGAGTGCATTAGAAAGTATATCAGTGTTATAATACCCCGAATGGCGATCCGGGTACAGAAGTAATCAATTCCCCATGCTGCGATTTGACGGCTGCCGCTTCATTTCCCCATATTCATCATAATAACCGTCGTTTAGTCTTTTCATTAGACACGTGTTTAGCTTAAATGCTCCTAGTGACGTGTCGCTCTCTGATTGGTTCTTGACACGGCGGTTTCAAGGCTATAAATTAGCCTTTAACTTCTCAATTCCGGGTTTCGATTCTGCAATTCTCTGCGCCTTGTTGATTCCCCTGCGATTCTCTCCCAGCTTCCATCGCTCAGGTAACTTCTCAAATCCGGATTCCTTATCTTCATTTCTGGCTCGACCGAGATGAGCCCCAAACAGCATTCCTCTGATTCGGAGATGGCCTCCCATGGAGATGACCGTGACGCCGCCATTGTGGACGTCATCACAGTCCCGTTTGCCGGTGGTTCTACTGAAACGGCGACGAATACCAGGGCTGAGGCGGAGGACCTTCCTAGCAATTCTTCTTCCTCCAGTGGAGATTCCAACGACACCAAATCCGAGGACGAAATAGCCTCCATGGCGGCCGGACGTCCCAACGATTTTCCCCGCCATACCCTTGACCTAAAATTGATTAAGGAGAGGATTGTGATGACCGAAACTGGCCCGGTGCATTCCTGCCCTTATCCCAGACCCAATGGATTTCCGTTTGCAAGCTGGGCTTCACCCAATGCGTCATAGGCCCGGAATGACCATAGTTCATTTTGACTCAAATAGGGTCGGCCTTAGGTTTCCGCTACACCCCTTTTACATTTCATTCTTCAATTTCTACGAAGTCGTACCGGCCCAAATTATGCCGAACTCCTATCGGGCAATGGCGGGTTTTATTTGCCGTTGTAAGGATGCCGGCTCCCGACCAACCCTAGAACTCTTCCACCAATTTTTCAAAGTAGCCCCCCAACAAACCCACGGCTATCTGGCCACTAGTGCCCGAACGGGACACATCCTGTTCAAGGGAAACCCAACTTCAATCAAAGGGTGGAAAGACCGGTTTTTCTTCGTGTCTGTCCCGGACGGCCTAATTCCCCGCAAATGGAATGCCTTCCCCCGCAAGACTCCTGATCCTGTCCTCACTGAAGAAATTTACAAGGACGTGCTTGCTGTGAGGAAGGATAAATGCATGGACATCATGAGTTATCTAACTCCCGAACGACTTATTACAGCCGGGATAGGTACTGCTCGTTCTCTTGGGTTTACTTATTTTGAGAAACCAAGTGCCATGGTCCGGGCGGTCCTTCCCGTGCGAGAAACGTTCTTTTGTTCTTTTTTCTAGTTTCTCACACGCTAAGGCCGCTCGATACTAACATTGTCCTTTGTCTTTTTTCAGCACCAAACCCAGATCTACCTATGGATGATAGCAGAGTTATCGCAGCCGGTGGGGCCGGTAAACGGAAAAAATCCAGGAAGAACCCCCAACCTACTCCCTCCATTGTTCCTGCTCAGGATGCTGCCTCTTCTCAACCGCTTCCAGAGCCACAGCCAATACAGCAGGTCCATCAAGACCAATTCGAGGCCATGCTGGTCGACGATCGGTTCGGCTCTGACCAACTGCATCAGTTCTCTCAGCATTTTGACTCCATTCGGGGGGGGGACCCTCAAATGCAGGTGAGACCCATACCGACCATATTACTGGTCAGGTCGAGCGAATCTCCTTATCTGATCCTGTCCACGAGGTATTAGAAAGGGCTGGTTCTACCGCGAGCCAGATCTGGTCGACCTCCTCTTGGTTCAACAATTTTTCCCTTCCTCAGTTGCCGGTTGAGCAATCTGAAGAATGTCTGACCTTGACCGCTCTGAAGGTACATTATCTTTTGCGCTTTGTTTTTATTTTATTCTCTGTAATCAGTACTAACTCTCGAACGGTGCTCTGTAGATGGGTTTGTACACCCTTCAAATGCGGGAAGCCCGTCTGGCCAAGGAACGGGAACTGATTGTTGCCCAGTCTTCTGCTACGCAAAATGCTGCTGCCGCCATCACCTCTCTGGAGGCCGAACGGAAGGCCTTTGCGGAGGAGAAGCAGAGGCTGGATGCTGAGATCGGTACCCTTCGGGTCCAACTTGCAGCTTCCTAGGCAAAGGTCCTTGCCGCTAAGGCCGCACAGGTCAAGTTTGAAGAAATGCCATCCAGCATCCCGGACGGTCCCTATGAAGTGAACGTGGATCTGTCCGCCGTCCGGGAAACATTTAAATCCTCTGATGAATTCTCCATCATCAAGGATGATCACGCAAGGACCCAAATCCCGTTCGCCTTTGGGGCGTACTTGAAGGGTTTCCCAAAAGGTGCTGGTCGGCTATCGGCAGGGGTGGCCCTCTTGGACAAGGATCCCGAGGCCAAAAAATGGAACGACTCCATTGTTTCAGACCTTTATGGAAAAATTGGCCAGGTCCTGCTGCGTCCCTTCGTTGCTCAGCTTCAAAATAATCCGGGGAGGCCGGTTCAGGCTTCTGATCTTCCCAAAGATGACATTATACAGGCGCAGTTCGAGAAATTTCTGCGAGCTCAGCAACGGGAAGTTGATCGGGCTGCTGGGAGAGAGCCTGAACCCCCGTCTGATGATGATGAGGACAAGGACAAAGAGGGAGATGAAATGGCCCCTGGCCAATAATTTATATGTACTTTTTAATTACTTGTACTCCCCGGTCAGTAGAACCGATGAATATATATCTCTTTTTTGCATGAAGCTTTGTGTACTGTCTTTTCTGTCTTTATTGCATGATTTACTCGCCATTCGGGATTCGGCCCGTTTTGTAGGACTTAACCAATTTCCTGACTTTATTTCTTGCTCAAATACTCCTAATGTCGTTGATCGTCGTTCGGGCATTAGAAAGGTTCTGATAATTTATTAAGGAAAAAACCCCTTCTCTCTGGGACTCAGCCGTTCGGGCTTCAGACCATTTTTTAGGACTTAGCACATTCTGGCTTTAGATAATCTTTTACAACGTTGATAGCCGGTCGAGCTTCAGATCAATTCTTAGGACAACTGTTTTCTTGGTTTTCTTCGCACCTGGGCTTCTTCATAAGTTGGTAGCCGTTCGGGCTTCAGATCAATTTTTAGGACAGCCGTTTGATTTCAGATAACCTTTTACAACATTGATAGCCGGTCGGGCTTCAGGTTAACTTTTAGGACTTAGCAATTTTTCTAAACAGCAAGTCCCTGTGATCTTTTCTAATCCTCTGTAAGCCCGTCCGGGGTACGTG